AGGAAAAGGCAGGTCTATGTTATTGGGGATTCCTTATTGAGAAGAATAGATAGGCCTGTAACCAGAGCTGATCCAGATAATAGAAGGGTGTGCTGTCTGCCAGGTGCTAAGATACAAGATGTGGAACTGAGGTTGAAGAAGATTATTAAGGGAGCAGGAAGAAATCCATTGATCATTCTTCATGTAGGAACAAATGATACGGCTAGTTTCTCGCTGGAACGAATTAAGGGAGACTATGCTAGGCTGGAGAGGATGCTCAAGGAAATTGAGGCTCAGGTGATTTTTAGTGGGATTCTGCCTGTTCCTAGAGAACAGCCAAACCCTGACCTTGCTATACGTTAGGATAAGAGGAAGCAGCCTTCCAACCTTGGTGGTCCTAGCTCTTCCGGAAAGACCAGATGCCATTCACAGCAAAGGCATCCAATCTCTCTGGTCAGGAAAATGAGCGGCACATGTGTGCCCACTACAGCTACATCTAGACTGGCATGATTTTCCACAAATGCTTTTAACAGAAAAGTTTTTTCCGTTAAAGCATTGGTGGAAAAGAGCGTCTAGATTGGCATGGACGCTTTTGCGCAAAAGCACTTTTTGCAGAAAAGCATCTGTGCCAATCTAGACGCGGTTTTGCACAAAAAGCCCCAATCGCCATTTTCGCCACTGGGGCTTTTTTGCGCAAAATGGTTCTCAGCTGCCTACACTGGCCCTCTTGCGCAAAAGCATTTCCGCAAGAGAGCTTTTTCCCTAATGGGAGAGTTGTCGTATTTGCAGAAGAACACTGACAATCTTACATTAGATCATCAGTGTTCTTGCGCAAATACAAAGTGGCCAGTGTAGACAGCTGGCAAGTTTTTCTGCAAAAGCAGTCGCTTTTGTGGACAAACTTGCCAATCTAGATGCAGCTGATGACTTCTTGCGCTAGAAATATGCAAATGAGGAGAAACGGCATTGCGCAAGAGGGGTTTTCGTGCACAAGAGGCAGTGTAGACCGCTCCTTCTGGCGCAAGAGCCTCTTCTGTAAAAATGGCGGCTCATTAGGTATGCAAATGAGGCTCGGCGATTTTCCATGCTTAGCCTCGTTTGCATAGCCTTAGGATACATACTCTGTAATTACACCAGAAATTACAGGCACCTCCTTTGTGAAGTAATCACTAGTGCTTATGTTGTCATTTTTTAAAATTTTTATTTACAAAACTACAATGGTCTGCATTTTCACTTGTGTGTGTGCGCATGCACACGCGCATGTATATGTATATATAAATAAAATGGTCTATTCAGTATTTCTACTTCTGTATGCTATAATTTTAAACAAGACACAGCTGGTAAGTGGCAGCCTGGATCATAAAAGGCCCCTTAGAGATACAGAAGATTATAAAGTAGTATTATTCCAGATGAACAGGAAGTTACTAAAACAGACCAGAACACACTTGCAGACGCTCCATACCTATAAATGTGTAACATTACTAATGTGCTTTGTTTGACTAGATCTGAGGCTATGGCTACACGTGAGTTTTGCCGATGCAAATGAAGTGCGGATAGCATTTTCTCGCGCTTCATTTGCATACTCTTTCATTCCCTTTTTGTGCAAAAACAGGCAGCGTGGCCATGGCCATTTGGTGCAAAAATCCCTTTTTTCCGCAAAATGGCCACGGCCACACTGCCTGTTTTTGCACAAAAAGGGAACGAAAGAGTATGCAAATGAAATGTGAGAAAATGCTAATCTGTGCTTCATTTGAATTGGCTCTTGCAGCAAAACTCATAGGCTACGTCTACACTGGCGGCTTCTTGCACAAAAACTTGCCGGGTGTCTACACTGCACATGCATTCTTGTACAAGTAAATTTACAGTCTAGCGTAGGAAAACAGGACTTCTTCCGGAAGAGTTATTCCTCTCCCCACGAGGAGTAAGCCCTCTTGTATAACAGCTCTTGCGCAAGAGGGCAGTGTGAACAGGCAACATTAATTTCTTGCGCAAGAAACCCTTATGGCTAAAATGGCCATCAGAGCTTTCTTGCGCAAGTGTGTCCACACTGTCATGGACGCTCTTGCACAAAAGCACATGCCAATGTAGATGCACTCTTGTGGAAGACTTTTTGCGCAAGAACTCTTCCGCAAAACAGTTCTTGCGCAAGAAACTGCCAGTGTAGACATAGTGTAGCTGTAGCCTCACTGATTCATCCCCCATATCCAGTTTGAGTTTTTAGACTATAGTTTGGATCCCAACTATCTTTCACCCTTCTTTGGTAGTTTGTAAACTGTACTTGTTATTGCACTTAACCTCACATATACACAACTTGGGAGTGTTAGTGATGTTACTATAGCATTCAGTCCTGTATACTTGCCTGAGAAATAATTTTGGGTTTTGCTTGCCCATTTGATTTCTGTATTTCTTACTAACATGCGAACAAAAATATTGTAAGTTGGATCTACCCACAACCAGATGGGGTTTATAGCACAATTAGAAAAGATAAGGATAAGAGTTAAATGTTGATAGTATTGGTGGAAGTTTAATATATGATTGCTTTGACTCCTCTTTCAAGGCAAGATCAAGCGACCACTCAAGAGTGGCAAAGGAGTGGGGGAGGGAGGGGGTGGGGGGGGAAGAGAGAAACACTAAAAAGGCAAAGAACGGATGACTGGCCAAAACACACCCTTACTCCCTATCCTTCCCACGAGATACAAAAGAGGTGGTACCAAAACCCTCAGATTCACAATCCTCCAAAATGGAACATTAACCATAAATTGTAAGGGATGGTGCAGAAGCATGTACTACAGGTATTATTGAGTCTGTCAAGGAAGAGGTGGGGGGAGACATGAAAAAACTAACAGTGTACAAAGCTATGGATATGCTTGCTTGGTTAACCTCAACAAACATCTCATTGCCTGCAGTTTGGACTCTGGTCCTCTGTTTTTTGCCTATAAGACAAGACTCAGGGGTGTCTTGGGAGGATAAGGGGAAGTCCTAACAGAGAGAATACTATTTTTATTAGTAGATAAACGAAGGCTGGGGTGGCATAAATGAACTTGGATTTTAACAAAGCCCCGTAACAAAACTGGTGTTTCCTTTTCCCTACTGCACAAATCTTATTTTAATCTGTGTCTGTTTAGAACAGGCAGAAGCCTGTACTTGTCAGTGAATAGAACAATATCTAAATTTAGAGTTCTCTTTATTTATACAACTCCTTCATTATATACTTACCAACAGAGTTAAGATCACATTTCCTAAATGTATGAAATTATACCTCACATTATACCTAAGTTAGTTACCTGTTCCATTCAAACATAAGAGAACTCTTATAAAACATGATGAAGTTTAACGTATGTGAATGTCAACGTAACAAAATTAACACCAGTGTACTTCTCGTAATAGATGTTCTGAATATGTTAGTTAGCAAATTCTATGGAATTGTTCAATACAGCAGTAGTACACTCTCTTTATTAGCATAGACACTACCGATATCACAGTTGTGTCAAATAATGTAATTTCTATCATAGGATGTGACAAAATTCCAATTGTTAAGAGTATATGAACCTGTCACTTTTTTTTTTAACTGAATAGATAAGATCTGAAAACCAAATTCAGTGCATAATGGAAGCTGTATTTTGCTGACAAACTTCACTGTAGTTCAATGAAGAAAATATATGCATTCCCAAATGTCTAAATTGAGCCACTAACCAACTCTTTATAAAATTTTCACTCAAGAAAACTGACGGTCTACTAATAGTAGATTGTCTATTATTTTATATTCCAACCAGTATTAGTAGTCTATTGCAAATTTTTCTCTTTTGCTTTGATCAATTATTAGTCTATTCTATATATACACACACACAATTTAATTCTTTTGGATTTGTTTTTTACTAGTTATTGATTTATAAAACAGTGACAAACATGCCTTTATTCACTGCTCATTTACTTTTAAGTATATAGTTTTGTGGGCTTTTGTTTTTAACCTTTGTGGACGGACAAGGCAGCATTTACTTCTGCCTCTAATTTATGAATAAAACTTTGGCAAAGATCTTCTGTAACTGAATCCTACTTTTCATTAAATAGGTTACTTCTTTCAGGGAGATGTCTTTGCAAGTCTAGGTTATAATAGTGTATTTTTTCCCTTACAAGAAATTACTCTTACCTATAACATTTTGAAGATTTCAGATTCACGATGAGTATCCCACCACAACTTGAGGGACAGATCTTAAGCCTTTTCCTTAAGACTGTTTCTTTGTAACAAACAGCATAATGGTGGATATTTCTTGTTTTGCTGTCTGGTCCATATCATCAAGTGATTTTTGGTTTTAAGTGAAGGAAATAAAGACACTGTCTTCTATAGATTATGATACTGCTAAAAACCAAGAAATAGGTTGTGATCTAACCTTATACTGAACTGAAGTAGTCACAACTATACTTACAAAATATCTATAGAGCTGGTGTGTATGCATCTGTGTGCACAATAAACTAGTTTGTCTATTCTGTCAGTTTTCTAGTGCATGACGTATGTTTTCAGTATGATGTCCTTATTCAGAAATTCAGTCTTGCTCTTGCAATAACCCAAATTGTCCAGAATATGCTTTTAAACACAAAACAGAAATCACCGATTGAGGAATATAGTTCCAAAGGTGAACATTTGTGACACATGATCAGTTACTTGCACATATTCCTAACTGGGGCTTGGTTGGGTTTAGCGCATCTCATATTACAGAGTGATCCATATTTTATACACACAGCATCTTACTTTATAGTCCAAGATAGAAGAAGCATAAAAATGTAGACATTTTTATCTGAAGATAAAAAAGTAACTAGAAGTCTACTCCTTTTTCTCCACAGCCAACTAATCTTGATGAATTCAGGGGCAACCCCCCCCCCACCCCCATTTACATACTTAGACAAACGATACCCATTCAACTTTTTTCAGAGCACTTTTAAAATTTTATACAAAAGCCAGCTACCTTAAAAAAACCATTTTCTATGTTTTAAACACATAAAATTAAGGTTCAAGAATTTTAAACAAAAATGAACTAAAGAGCTTTATTGACATCACAGTACATTCAATAATTTTAAGTACAGCTGAAAGAGAATGGCATGTTTTATATTCTTATTAAGCACTACTATTTTTGAAAAAATGCAATACAAAGAAATCCTATTATGTATTTAACTGAGCAGCATTTGAAAAAAATACACCTATTTACAGTTTAAAAAAGGAATCTGGTTTCACCTACACAGCCACAATGTGCCTCTATAATGAGACAAGCCTTTAAAACTCATGGAATTTTTTAATGTCACATCACTGGTGCCACATCACTCCTCAGCGTTTACGACGAGGAGGGGTGGTGGACCTGAAAAATAAAGAGAAAAGGGAAAAAGTTAATGGGGCAAAGGCACCCCTAAACTAGACATGCTTTTTAGGCTTAACAATTAGCAATTTTAAAAGACTTTCCAAAATTACTTTTGCCCAAGACAATTATAACATACCAAATTTTATTTAAAAAATACTTTTATATGTTGTACACAGGAAGACGAATAGTAAAAATAAAATAAATAAATAAATCAGACAAAATACTTAAAAAGTATACTACCTTGATCGTGACTTAGACTTGTGTTTGCGGCTTGCCTTCTTACCAGACCTTTGAGATTTCTCCATGGATTGTGACCGACTATGCTTTGATTTCTTAGCCTTCTTCTCTTTGCTGCTTCCTGGTGATTCAGAACTGCTCCTTACACTAGAATCAGAGCCTGAATGTTTTTTACTATCTTTGGTAGAACTTTTCTTGCTTTCCTGTCTAGAATCCTGTCTTAAAATTTTAGCAGACATTGAATTGCTGCGAGACAGAGCTCTTTCACTATCTCTTTTTCTCTTTAACCTACTGTCATCATGATTGCCAGACTTACTGTCTTTTTCTTCTTTTCTTTGTTTCTCTTTTCTTTTTTCCTGGTCTCTCTCCCGTTCTCTGTTTTTCTTCCTATCTTTATCTATGCTCCTACTTCGTTCCTTTTTCCTCTCTTGATCTTTACCATCACCCTTATGCTTGTGCCTATTTCCACTAAGACTTCTATGCTGGTCTTCGCTTTTACGCCTATCTCGACTCCTGCTGCGACTAGCACGACTAGCTCGTCTGTCCCTTGAGTGACTACTGCTTCTACGCCTCTCCCAACTTCTTTCCTGGGAAGGACTATGATTTTTCCGTCTCTCCCCTCTTTCCATGCTATTTCTGCTAGATCTCCTCCTTTCTCTTATCTTTTCCCTACTTCTACTTCTCTCTCTCCTGTTTCTATGAGAATAACTTCTACTTCTACTGCGTCTAATTTTATGTGATGGCGATCTACTGTGACTACGTCTTTTCTTCCTTTTTGGAGAGGAAGACTGTGAAGAACTGCGGCTACTACCTGAGCTCGTACTGTATGATGTACTAGACACAGTACTGCTGCTACTACTGCTTCTACTATTGCTGCTATTGGTACTACTACTAGTACTTCTTGACCTACTCCTTCCTGTTCTCTCTTTTTCTTTAGCCTCTTTTTTGGATTCTATATCTAGTGCAGTTTCACCTGGAGATCTTTTCTTTTCATTAAACACATCATCCTCTGTTTCCTTTACTTCCTGTAGTGCTGAATTGCTATTTTGCTCTTTGTTCATGAATTCATTCATCTCTTTAGCAATTCTTTCATTTTGGAGTTTTTCTTCTGGAAAAGCATATGAAAGAAAAAAAACACAAGTAATGCCACATAATGTGATATAGTTACATGGCAAAAGAACAAATGTGCTATCTTTATTTGCTAAGGATCAAATTTCCAGACCATCTGAATTTTATACAACAATTAACTTGCCACACCTCAATACACCACCATCTTAAAGTTTCAAAATGTGTTTTTTTTTCAGATGAGGCAAAAATCAATTCCCCCCTCCTTCCTTTCCTTGAGATGCTTAATATTATTTAAGATCTCATTTGACATACAGAATTTAGTTCATACACAGAGTTTTCACAATGATAAAAAGTTGCACCAAATGACCTAATTTTTCTCCTAATTTTATGACACGAGAAGAAGTTATTTCTAAAACCTGCTTTCTGATTTTTTTAAAAAGGCAAAACAGGAAATTTTTTTAACCTTTTCTGATCCTATTTTTATTTATATAACTCAAGCATAAATTTTGGCAAGCAATTAATTCATATTTTGTTTATCTTCTAAATGTATTTGAACTTTGTGCATGGGTAAAAAAAATCATAATTTCAAAGCAATATGTATTCCAGGGTGTATCAACTTTTCATTCCACCCTGAGAAATCACACCTCTAGAAAACACTAGAAGAGATTCTGTATCATTCGTTATTCAGTCATTGGGCTTCTTGTTGAGAGTAATTAGCACTGCTATGGAAAGAGAGGGGGCATGAGAGGTTCTAGTACAGTGTTTCTTAAACTTTTTAAGATTGAGGAACACCAAAAAAAAAAATTTTTTAAATGGGGAACACCAACGATATTTTTTGTTGAGCAAAAAACAAAAAAACACAAAACCAAAACAACCCCCAAACTACTGGGCCTGGGAGACGTGGGGTTCAAAATGCGCCATGATCCCCCCCAGGAAGACTGCCCTAATAACAGTCTGGTACATGGAGCTGAAAACTTAGACCCCAAAAAAGTAAGGATAATAATAAACCAACGTGAAATAAGGTCATGTGTCTAGACAAGAGGGAGGATAGAGGAGTGGATACTGGGGCAGGGTGTCAGAGCAAGCTGGGAATGCGGAGTCTTGGCAGGGGGAGGGGAGTGAGGGGGGTTTGGGTGCGGGGTCTGAGCACGAGGGGGGACACTTACTTGGCTTCCTCAGGGAACGGGGAGGCGGGAGGAGAGATCAATCCCATTTCTCCCCCCTGCCCATGCAGCGGGGAACCCAGCACAGCTGCAGCACCAGGCCAGGGTTCCCACTGGCAGGGCAGAGGCAGGGGGAAAGAGGAGAAAACCCCAGTGGAGGAGGAGGAGGCTGCGAAGCACCGGAGGCCCTGTGTGACAGGGGCCGTCCTGTGGGCTGGGGGGCAGCCACAGCGGGAGCTGTCTATGAGGTCTGCAGGGGATGGGGGAGCAGAATTTTTTCCACTGATGTACTGCGGAACACACTTTAAAAAACGCTGTTCTAGAGGATATATCTCCATTAGAAACAGAACCAAAGACTAATCTATGTAGAGCTGATCCTAAACAACATTTTTTGAAATAAGAGTGTTTACACATGAGGTTAAACAGGAATAACTCCATGTATAGACAAACCTTCCATGTACCATACTGCTGACAGATCACAGTGTGGACTAGAGATGTTAAATTGCATTTAATCCGCTAATCAAGTAATGATGGAAATTCCATCTAACTACTCAACTAGTCAATAAAGGAAGAAACTGAAGAGCCACAGCAGAGTTAGCTCCTGGCCCCAGAAGGTAACTCCACTGCAACTCTGCTTTTTAAATGTATTGAGAACTGCCAGGCTCTTAATACATTTAAAAAGCAAAGGTGCAGTGTCTGGGACTGGGTGCAAGCCGGGAATCAGCTGATTCTCAGCTTGCAACCCGTCCCCTGCTGCACCTCAGAGACAACCCAACCCGTGCCTCCCCACAGAGACACTGCTGGTGGCTCCTGCTCCCCCCCAGATGCTTCTCTGATAGAGGCAGCAGGGAGACGGGGAATGACTAGTAAAGTCACTACTTGATTACCCAATAAACATATGCTTATCAGGTAGTCAATTAGTCACTTACATCCCTAGTGTTGACCCAAATCAAACTGGTTACATGATAGAAAAAGGTTATATATATCCCATTTCTATTTTTCCCAAATTATTCAGGACTTCCATATGATTTATTTTAAAATTAACAGCAATTAAGCAAATACAATAAATAATTAACATGAATTTTAGAAGAGTTTGCAGTGCATTATACACATTTTAAATATATTAAAGGATTATCATACCATCGAAAATTAATTTTAGAGTATTTTTTTCCTCTTCAATATAATTTTTATAAAAATAACAGAACAAGGCACATGGTCGCATTAAATACATACTGTCAAAAATCTCAGCCCGCCCAATAATCTGTAAGTGCTCACCTTTTCAATTCAATTATAATCAACACTGATATACAGCAATTGAACAACAAGATATGTGTTTCAATTGCACGTTGAATGATTAATGGTTGTCTCAAAATTCTACATAAAACTGAATCTGTTCTACCTCACTGAACACAGATTACAGTTGTGATCCAAAAATGTTCTCAACCATGGTAAAGCACGTCTGTTGCAGTAAAGATTTTTTTGCCCATTTATGATAGGAAACATCCATTTACAGCTCTTTCTGGGGATAACAGTCTGGCTCAACAGTTATGCTCAACTCCATTGTTTGCTTGCTGTGACAACTTAAAAGGCAAAAGTGAATACCCTAGAAGAGAAGTGTATTTCTACACCTGAACGTCAATCTATATTTTTAAAGTCTTTGTATATACTTATTTTAAATTCTTTACTTCAAACCCAATTCAGGACATTTGAGGTAGATGGAAGGATGAAGGAAGCACAACTTAACTTCCACTTTGGTAGTCAGTAAATAATGGAATCATCCATTGAAGGGAAAGGAGTCTGAGGGGAACATGTTAAGGATGCAAAATATACTCCTTAAAATAACATAACAAGGGGTATGTCTCCACTGCCATCCTAGTGAACTAGGGTGGCTAACGTAGGCATTCGAACTTGCAAATGACGTCTGTGATTTAAATATACCGGGCTTCATTTGCATGTTCTCGGGCGGGCGCCATTTTTAAATGCCAGTAGTTCGAACTACCTGCCCGCAGCTACACGTGGCACAGACTAGGTAGTTTGAATTAAAGCTTATATTTTGAACTACCGTTATTCCTCCTGCAAGTGTAGACATACCCAAGTATATTAAGACTAGTATGTCTGCTTAGACTTTCAGATATCTACAAAATCAAGGAATTCAAAAGTTAAATTATACCATAGAACCTTTTCCAAACATTTCCCATATAAGAAGAAATCCCATTTTATTATTTCAACGATGATCTTTGTTCCATCTTCTTAGGCTGCTTCCCTCCCCCCCCACAAAAATAAAAATCAAACATCTCTGAAGTCAATAATCTTATTATATAGCTCAGAAATGTGTGTATCTGCCCATGAGTCCATTTCTTCAAGAACTCCTCCAGAATGGTAAGAGCTAGGACCACCAAAAATCATATGCAGCTTCCCCTTATAACATAAATCAAGGTAAGTGTTTGGTTGTGCCAATACAATGGTATATGCTTGGAATCTGATTGTTTCTCATAAAATGGAAAGGGAGAGGATTGGTAGGAGGGAGTTATAATGTAGTGTAGAATGACCACAGGGGAGCAACATGGAGCCAGAGATGGGGATTGAGACAGCTATAACCCCATTGGGCCAGCAGGGGGCAGCTTTGGAGAAAGGAACAGCTATCTACTATATATTTCAGAGAGTTTGTCTGACATGCACCCCTCCCAACTGGCCATGCCCACTGCAGCAGCAATGGACAGGCACTTCTCACTCGGCCCCATCAGGCTCCGGTGAAGATGGCGGAGGTGATCCTCTCTTCCCAGGCACCCTGTATACTGAATAGGGATGTGAAAGCGTAAACGTATACATTGTTAACCGATGAACCTGGGCTCATCAGTTAATATGCATGGGGCAAGTGGGAGCTGGTGTGCGCAGGGAGCTGGCTTTTACTGTTTCAGAGCATAAGGGAGGGGCGGAGGTAGCTCTGTAGAAGCCCCTCCCTGCTGCATGTAAATGTGTAACCGCTGAAAATTTCAGTAGGTACATGTTACCTAAATACACTCATTGTAACATCCCTAATATTGAACTCCTCCCTCATTCCCACTCCAGAACAATGATTTAAAGAAAAAGAAATCTTGTTTCAATTAAGGACCCAAGCAATTCCAGGTAAATCCTCTTGTTAATGTTATAAACATAGGATTTTTCTAGCTAAAGGCTTGAGTCCACAACTTCAGTATTGCCTTTAAGTGGGGAATATTATATGATGAGCAGAAGACTAAGCAAAAACAGTATTTTTTCCATTTAAATATCCTTAATATGAACACAAATAAAAGTAGGGGAAAATAAATTGAAAATCTAGAAAAATAACAGTTTCTAAATAGAATAAATTTAAAAGCCACATAAAACTGAATATGAGATACATAGATGCAATAACTGTTGTGTTCATGTAAGGTAGTGGTCACCAATCCACCGATCGATCAACTGATTGATCCTGGAGATTCTCCCAATTGATCAAAATCTCTGACAAGAAGGCAGACTTGCTGATCAACAGAACTGCACAGCCAACACTATGTATTTAGGTGCTCTTCCCCACCTGTTGCTCTCTCTTGCAGCTGCTCCTGGGTGGCTGGCTACGCACAGTTGAGAAGGAGCACTGTTGCCACAATGTCCACCTGCCCCAGTATCCCATCTCCACAGAGCAGGGAAGAGAAAGAGGTTGGCCTGACTGGCTCAACTCAGAGCACTCCCTGAGTGTGAGATTGTTCGCATTTTTTAAAAGAGACAGTGCCCTTTCTCTGAGATTTCCTCAGCAGCCAGCCATCTCTCTCCCCCTCCCTCCCGCCCCTGTACCTCACCTTTGCAAAGCAGGGGATAGGAGGACTAGAAGCAGCTGTAGTCTGAAGTCTACTCTGAATGGTGAGTGCGAGCTCATAGTGTCTCTCAAACACACACATACAAAATATCTGGATTACACAGTCTCTTTCGCACTCACCTCCCAACACATACTTGTATTGTTGTTACTGCTCTGTAGTTCCTGTGTTGCATATATATTCTCTGTAATTTTAGTCTTTCAAAGTATGTTATTTTAAGTGTGTTGACTGATGTATGCATTTCATTATAGTATTTATTTCTCTTACACTTAAATTTAATTATTTGAGTAGTAAATACTAGCCTAACCTGTCCTGGCTGGAGTAATTATCTATATGCTAACTTTAAATATAAATAAATAAATATATGTTTGTTTGTTTCTACTGGTGATGCCCATTAGCCAGGAATGGGGAACTGCCCTCTCCCAAAGCCAGCACCCTATACTCCCTCCTGCACCCTATCAGTTCCTCCTCTCAAAGCAACTATCCCACATCCCTCCCACACTCCTCCCCATACAAAGCCAGCACCCTGAACCCCCTACTGCACCCCAATACTCTGGGCAGCCCCAAACCCTTCCAAAACCCTGCACCCAAATTCCCTCCCAGATCTTGCACCTTCACCCCCTTACATCCAAACTCCTCAGCTCCAAGCCCGCATGCACTCCTGAACCCCAACTTCATGCCCTAGTACAGTAAAAGAAAGTGAGGACAGGAGACAGTGAGTGATGGGGTGGAGAGGAGGAGTGAAGCAGGGCTTAGAGTAAGGGGTGAGACCTTGGGAACGGGGCAGGCTATACCCTGGTTGCCCTTAAATAAGTGATCCTGGGCACAAAGTTTGGAGACCACTGATTGGGACTGCCTTATAAAGAGACCACCTTTTTTTTTGGACCCATAAAAACACAACTCACACACACCAGGAAAAAGGAAGTGCTCCGGAAGAGTTTTTGGATAATTTTAAATTTAAGCTTCACAAAACAACCCACCTTCTTGAATATTCGACAGTGACAAAGGTTCTATGCTTGCTTATGTTTAACTAGAAGTCAAGCAAGATCAACAATTAATACTATATGTCCTACCCTGACAATCAAATAATATTTCAACATTCCTTTGTTTCAAATTTTTTTTTCCCCTCAGGGAGACCTCTTCTCCCTCCTGTGACCACTATACAGAGAATTTTCCTCCTCTGAATGTATATGCACACATTTTAATGGACCTAGAGAAAGGAATGGAAACTAAATATTAGAATATCACGCCCCTGTAGGACTGGCTTATCCAGGAACAGGAGGAAATGGGCCCACTGACTGGGGTAGGGAGAGAAGTGGTACAAAGGAGGCAGTTGTCCTGGGCTCTTAAATTGCCATTGGAGCACTAAGCAGCACACTCCAGGCAGTGCCAAGGGTTGGCTAGGAGAGCAAGAGTGCTACGAGTTGCTGTCCCCAACCCTGGCTCTTCCATTGCACCCCTTCTGGAAGCACAGAGTGATTTCAATGCCACCTTGCCCAAAGGCCTGGCAAGGCTGTAAGCCCCCCCGGGAGGAAATAAATATGCCAGTGGTGACTTTGTTCATGTCATGCCCCCATCAGATCCCAACTGAAGTAATAAATTTACTACAACTAAATGATTGGTAAACATTATTTTTCCAGTAGATCGCACCCTGAAACTTAAGTGAGCCTCTGACCCATGCACATACTCATCACGATAGCTCTCCAATCAGGAAACAGAGATAACCAAAGCAGATTTTCTTGTGCTGTAGCCATCATGTATAAGAGGGGAATTAATATCCAAAGTGAAAAGAGAGGTAAGCCAGTGAGCGCACTACTCAAGGATATCATGTTCTCCGAAGCTAAAGTTGGAGTGACTGAATGTGAAAACAGGCACTGACATCAAGTTATGAAAACACACAAGTAAACATATCTAATTGAATAATCTGATGTCTTGAAATAAACGCCTTAGATACTCTAACTAGGAAATCAAGTATCAGAGGGGTAGCCGTGTTAGTCTGAATCTGCAAAAGCGGCGAGGAGTCCTGTGGCACCTTATAGACTAACTGAAGTGTAGGAGCATAAGCTTTCGTGGGCAAAGACCCACTTCGTCAGATGCATGGAAAATGTTTTCTGCAATGGGGCAAGGAACTTTTGGCTGGTATGAGAACCCAAAAATCCAAAGGAACGTCTTACTATTTGAGTGAACAAGTGTGTGAATGCAGGGGTCTTGCAGAATTCCTTTATTTTGACTTGCTGAATCATGGACAATTGAGTGTCCTAAGTTAGATTGAACTCTTATGTGTGTCACTTTATTCAGATTTAGAATAGAGTGGACCCCAACTGGCTCCTTAGACTACAAGAAACAGTGAATATAGCTCTACATCTGCTTTAAGAAACTGCATATCCTGGGTCTTATTTTATTCAAGGATTGAGCAGTCACAAATCAGTCCAACTTTCAACAGTTTGAAAAACAGTCCCTCTGGCTGGAGGACTGCCTACGGATATTAAATTTAGGTTATTTTAAATAATCAAGTAGTCGACATAATTTTTATCAACTACTCGATAGTGGAAGGCAGCCCCTTCTGAATGGTCCTGGCTCACTTCAGGACCAAACCCCACTATACCTCTGCAATTTAAAAATGCAGTAGAGGCAGGCTGCCTGACTCCTACTGCCTTTTAAATTGCAGAGTCACAGCATGGTTTGGTCCCGGAGTGAGCCAGAATTGAGTGGGGCTGCCAGACCAGCCAATGTCCACGTAGGGTCCCATCTTCCTGCTGGGACCCCTCACAGACAGGGATGCTGCTGGAGCAGCCTCCCCAGCCCCCTCCCACTGCTGCCTCTGATAAAAGGGGGAGAGGGGAGGGAAGAGAGAAGAGACACTGCTGAGGGAAACCAGCTTTTAAGCTGGCTCCTGTTTCCCTCCCTCCCTTGCTGCCTCTGATACTGAGGCGGGGGGGGGGGGAGGGAAGGAAGAGAGAGAGAGAGGTAAAAAGCAAGTAGTCAACTTGACTACCAGATAAGTTTAAGTTTATCCGGTAGTCAACGAATCAACTACTCTCTTACATCCCTAGGACTGTTCAGCTTTTCTTTGGCCTGGTCTATGCTACAGCGGAAGGTCAAATTAAGATACAAATGAGGATAGCTGGAGTCGAAGTATCTTAAATCTCATTTCCTCGCTGTCCACACACAGCAGGAGGGCGACTGGAGTGTTCCCTTACTCCCTGCAAGGAGCAGGAGTACCGGTACTGATGGGAGCATCCTCCAAGTTCAATTTAGTGGGTCTATTTATACCCGCTAAATCAAGCCCCAGAAGATGGATTGCCACAGCATCAATCTTTCACTTAGTGTAGAAGTGCCCTTAGAGACCCAAGTTAAGTCTGTCTGTGGTGTCAAAAGCAGCAAGAACCAAAGGTAAACAAGCAACCTAAAAGTCTAAATATCCACAAAGAAGCATTCTATGGTAATCTAGCACTAATGAAATGAAAGAAAAATTCTGCTAAAATAAATCAGGGAAAGGGGCAAATCCCCCCAAAATCATAGCTTCTATAGCTACCAACTTTTCACCATTTAGAGACAGAACCAGACCGTCCCTTTGAAACAGTGAGTGACATCACAAGCATTTTTTTCCCATGTATTAAGGATCTATGTACAAAATTCTTCATCTGCACAAACTCTTTTCTTCACACACTAGTAAGCTGACATACACCCACTGGCAAAGAGGTTTGCAGAATGGTTCTCAACTTAAGAATACTTTGTAAATCTATACTATTTTAAAGCTCCTTGTGCAAAGCAGTGCTTGTCATTCCCACGTGACGAAAAACCATAAGGCTTCTCTTCTACTTTAAAGAACAGAGTAGAAAAGGTTTCACATAGGTGCTGTACATACGGGTGAATTTTACCCTCTCTCAGGATTAACCTATTAAAGGAATTTACTTTTGAAAATTATCTGTACAGCCCTGCACATACACAATATGTATCCACAGCCAATCTACAAAAATGGCTTGTGGATATCCATGATATGCAGGGTTCTATCCACTGTAATTTATTCTTTTAAAACTGAGAAAATAAACAGCCTATAAAGAATATAAATAATGGATTTTATAAGCATAAAAAAAACCCCAAACCAAACCAGTCTTCGGCAAAGTATTTCACATTTTTTATCAAACCTTTAGAATTGAGGAACATCACTTTTTACACATTTTAGTCTGAATATCTACATGTATATTTCGATATGTCTTCATCTATCTAACCACCCCAGACATATTCTACTAAGATGTAAAAAGTAAGCATGTGTATATTTCAGGAACATATTTAGGTGACTTACCTTCTAACTGTTTTTCTAGTAATAGTTGCTGTTCTCTCTCTTTTCTCCAAAATGCTTCCTGTTTTTGCCTGATTCTGTGTCGTAATTCCTCATCATCAGTATCAGATGATTCAGAGCCTCTATCACTCCTCTCATCTTCACTGTCTCCTGATCCATAACCACCCAGTCCACCTGCGTGCATAAAGCCCAGTCTATCACGAGGAAAGATTAAGCCTTGTTCTTAATATTTCTGTGGGGCAAAGAGGAGAGTACATTGCCCTTCTTTCACTTGCTCTTCTCTGAAGAAGCCACTTATTCTGAGGGAAGTGCCATTGCAGGTTGACTGGAGTATTCAAGGCCCTCATTTCTGTACTGAAGCTTAATATCTGGTTTTACTCCTGGAACAGCTTGTCTCTATTGCTCAGCAAGCAACCACTGTGACCATGGCACTTTTCTCATTGTATGGAAGGGCAAAAAATAAAAAAGCTCCATATGGAGCCAGTAACAATGCCTTCCCATGTAGTAGCAGGCGCACACACAGAACAGTGAAATGCCTGGGACACTTCCCCTGAAGTCATCTCTGCAATGACTTCAGCAGCCTTCCTTCAGTTTCCAGGGCTCAGAATTCATGAATGCCATATCAACTTTTCTACTGAGATTTAGAAAATACTGTACTTTAAAAGGTACAGAGATGGAATAAACATGGACTTCCCTCACTGCTAAAAGACAGATCTGAATATATCGTGGACTGATACAAAGAAACCTTAAACATCTGTCGCAAAGGCATTTTACTCTTCTCAATCTTTATTACAATTAGTTTTAAATGATCTGAATAATTGGGACAGAACATTTCACTTCATGTAAAGGAGTTCAACAAAGTTCAAACGTGTGATAAAATGTCAGTGATCATGTGCTGTTCTATTGCTACTAGATTATGCAAAGATGACAACATTGGGAAAGAGCTTTTCCTATTGCAGGTCAGAGTGCAATTCTACATTTCACATTCTGTACATCTTCAAATTGACAATTGTGGATATGGGAGCTTACATAAGTGTGTAGTTTCTCAATGAAAGCATACATTCTAAACATTTTAATAGTGGTTTTTTTTGCAAACCAGAGCTTTACATTTTTATCAATTATATTGTCAACTGTTACCCAATGCTAACATTGGCTGGATCAAAACAGGAGCAATGCATAAAAATACTCATCTTCCTTCAAAAACATTGTAATTTGATCCTGTTAAAATTAGCTATCAAGTAAACTATCTAGCCAAAAAAATAAGTGTACTTCTGATGTGTTTATCTAGTTTACAAACTTAGATAAAATATTCCGATATGCTACTCATATGATTAGTTCCTTATTCCACAAATTATCCCACTGAGATCTAGGGGATGACTTGTAAAGTAAGGTCCTATCCAACATGAATAAAGGTAGCAGAAAGATCTTTCATTATTGCAGTAATTACAACCTAGATTCAAAACACAATTTCTGGAAATGCAAGACAAGAGTGATCTCCCCCTTAAGCCCCTCTCAAAAATAAGCAACATACTTACCGAGCCCAGTGAGGGAAGCCAGTGCACTGGACTGTGCCAGCTGTTTTGCAGGAGCTTTGTATCACATCAACAACAGGAACAACATGTTAACACAAATAGCCACGATTTCATAGTCATGAGAGTCTATGGTATTGTTAAATCTACTACTATTGCTGTTTTTTGGAGGGAGAGAAGAAACATTAAAAACGTATCATCCATTTAAAACCAGTCCTAGATTTTCTCACCATGTAAGAGTTTCACATTATAAATGTGAGTTAACAGTCACTTGCACACCACAAATCTGTATCATAGATCCGTCTCCAACTTACAAGCATCTGTATATATATTTCAGACACCAGTATTTACATATTCAATTTTATTCATATTATATCAATCACCTTCTGTTGTATATAGAGTAGCTTGTTAACAGTGAAAGAAAATGAGCTACATGAGGATTCATATTTCTCTTTTCATTTCTGATCAACTAAAAGTTTGAGATAAAATGACAGCATAAAGAGATATCTACACTGCAAAAACCATTAACACTAAATAAATGAATGATATGAAAGAAATGGAATAACTGAAGTAACTCACAATACAGTGCACAGGACAACAATATATGATACTGGATTTGAGCTCTAGTAAGTCAGATGCATTATATTTTGATTGATCTTGGGAACAGTTGCTATGGAATAAAATTTTCTAAAAACATGCAAATATTGAATATTCACTGAACAAACTGAAAAGAGCATACCTTTAGTTGCTTTACGATGTACATCTTTGGCTACATAATAAATTTCTTCATTTGTGACATCTAAAAGAATCTCTGTCAGCAGCAGTTTTGTTAAGAACATCTGAAGAAAATAATTTTAAACACTGGAGGTAAAGAATTTGCACCATATTCTACATGCTGTTACACATATGCAAGCCCACTGCTTTGTATGGGTATAAAAAAAATTTTTTGGTTCCTTTATTTTTTCTAGTTAAAAGCAGGACTAGAAATCATGTCCAACTGAAAAAAATCAGAATGGTCTGTACTCTCACACCAACCTATAATCATAAGCAGGGCTCGCCAAGCGTCAACGAGCCCTGCTCGCCAGCTGCACTGAAGCGCACACTTCGCATGCACAGACTGCGCTGCATGACCGCACCGGGCTAAAATCTACTCGCTATGGGTGAGTAGATTGCAGGGTATGAAATCCCATTAATACAAATTGCACAATGACTTTATTTTAATGAAATTAAGTGGATGCACAAGACTTCAAAGGTTTGAGGCATTAACACCAGCACTTCACTTGTATAGGGCTCAGAAAGAGACAGAAAAACCTATACAAGTCACCTGCAAAAGTTTCCTATAGGAGGGTATGTCTAGACTGCATCCCTCTGTCGGCAGAGGGATGCAGAATAAGCAGGTCAACATTGCAAATGAGGCAGGGATTTAAATATCCCACGCCTAATTTGCATAAAAAGGGCCGCCACATTTTGCCAACTCAGCAAAACGTGGCGGCCATTTTTATGCAAATTAGGTGCAGGATATTTAAAACCCTGCCTCATTTGCAATGTCGACCTGCCTAATCTGTATCCCTCTGCTGACAGAGGGATGCAGTCTCGACATACCTGGAGATAGAGACCTTCTAATGGGCATAATGGCCATACTGCATAATTTGCAATTAAAGGCATACGGGGAAACAAGCTCCCACTTCTCATTGTGCAAGGCCACAAGACACTAACTTCAAATAATTAAAACATTTTAATAGAAAAGTTGCTGCTGGTTCTAGGAGCAATCTTGCTATTCTTGCGCTTCAAGAAGCTATATTTTTAGCAAAATTTTCAGAGGGGTTGGAATGCTAGAATAACTTCTAAGTAGGGATGTTAAAATACATATATTTGTGTAAACATGTAACCCCCACCCCACCTAAGTTTCCTGTAAGCTGCACACCTGCTGGGCCTCACAGCTATTTTCTGAGCCCCACTCAGAGGTTCAAAGCTCTAGTAAAGGCAGGGAGCTCAGCTAACCGACAGGGGCAAGGGGTCCTAAAGAGCAGCTAAACAGAGCTAGCTAAGTGCTTGAACTGAAGATCCCAGAGCAGGTAAGCATGAGATAAAAAGAGATTAGGTGGTGGGGGTGGGGTGAGTAAATTATTTAATTGGCTTGGAGGGGTGGAGTCAGAGGGGAGGGGAGTTGGAGAGTCCCATGTGCAAGAAAGGGGAGAGAGAAAGAGGCAGAAGCCTAGCAGTCTCATCAACACTCTTGGGCTCGGAAGGGAGGTAAGAGGCTGACTTCATGGAGTAGGTGGGGGAGATAGTGGGTGGGTGTGTGCTGGCTTAGGGGTGAGGTGTGGATAATTTGTTTAGCTGGGAGTCAGAACAGGATCAGCACAGACTGCTGGTGCCTGCTAATCTGAGAAGCAGGATTTTATCCCAGCCCCCAGTGGGGCTGATGGGAGCATATTGCACAGAGGTAGGTGGGGGAAAGGGAGGGGAATGATGGCATTTGTGCAGTGAGGTGGAGGCTGAGGGCAGTTTGTTTGCGATGTCCTCCAGATTTGCTGCTGGGAAAGCAGGTTGTGTGGTGTGTGGGTGTGTGCCAGGACATTTGCATGATTACATTTCAAACAAAGTTTACATAGGTGTTAATAGCTTAACCGTCCTGCCTCCTGTGGGCCCCCCTCCTCCGATACAGAGGCAGCGGGGGGATATAACCGTGCTGGTTAACCAATAAGCCCAGGCTTATTGGTTGACCGCGTAGATGTGTGCATGTTCACGTCCCTACTTCCAAGAAAGAATGACAGAATTATTTGTGGACGAAGACCACTGAGTTGGACAAAAATACATGAGTATATTGTGTTGCTCTACTGCTTATCAGCTAGATACCAACTTCACATATATGGTAAGTGCGGCAGCGGGGTGGAGGCAAAAGCCAGCTTCCCAGGAGCATCAGCTCCAATGGATTGCCTGCCCACTGTCCCCAGCCAGCTCTCCTTGAGCACCAGCTTTGCCTGTCCCCATTGCATTGCTACCTCTATTAGAGGCAGCAGTGCAAAGCTGGGAGGGGGGAAAAGGTTGTGTGGGGAGGGGGAAGGTGCTCCATGGGATATTGGCGCAAACTCTATCCATAGCAGGCCTGAGCTTCTGTCTGTGGGGAGCTCAAATCCCTCGCAAACAGGGGCTGCTGCCACCCTATTCTGCTGCCTCTGATACAGCATGGTTGACAGAGGCAGCAGTATTGGGTGGCAGGTGGGAAACGTTGTGTGTGCCAATTTTTAAACTGGCTCCCCTTACGAACTGACTCCACTGATACAGAGGCAGCAGAATAGGGTGGCAGCTCCCCAGGAGCACACTGGCTGCCAACCCCATCCCTGGGGAATATTGAATAGTCATGTAACAGCTAAAGTTTGATGTGGTTACATGAATAGTCCATTACACAATACCTAACATCCTTAATGTATAAACACACACACACACACACACACACACACACGAGAGAAATGTGGTTTTTGTACCATTTGATACTCCTTTTCTTCTTCTGTCATTTCAGGTTCACTTTGCTCCTCTTGAGGAGCAGGAGAGGGACTCCTACTGACTTTTCCAAGACTTGTAGCTTCTGGGTTTTCAATGTCTTCTTCCTCATCACTATCCTGTAAGAAGAACAATGCATACTGTAGGATAAATTCATAATTAAAACATGACAGTTTCTATTTATGATAATCAACAGAAATTGAAATACAGAATTTCAGAATGAAACAAAACAGCTCTCCAAACAAATAAGTGATACTTAGTCCCACTCTACAAGCCCCTAAAGCCAGCAAGTCAAGCATAAATCAGCAGCTGAAATCTGGTTTGATGATCCTCAGATGGACTATTAAGCAAGTATTTGCAGAGAACAAGCCATGATGGGTTTTTTTCAGTTAGGACATACAAAGTTGTTACTGGAGGCAGGGTGAGGAAATCATGTGAGAGGATGAATGGAGATGCTTTTCCCCCAAGGGAATGCGATTTATTCAGGGTGCATGGATTGGAGGAATCTGACTACAGTCCAGAGAGAGGATTTTTAGTCAACAACTTAAGATACTAGTCAGGCAAGGTAGATGCCCACGGAGAAAAATTTGCAGCTTTCAACTTCTCACCTGACCTCTCTTTGTCCAGAAAGACCACCTCTGCAGTGGTCTGGTCACTGTAGGATAGGTATCCAACATTGTAACTTGTTCAGTAAACATGATCACAAACATAAAGCTACAGCATAAGGTTCCCTAAATTAGTTCATAAGAACATAAGAATGGCCATACTGGGTCAGACCAAAGGTCCATCTAGCCCAGTAGCCTGTCTGCCGACAGCAGCCAATGCCAGGTGCCCCAGAGGGAGTGAACCGAACAAGTAACGATCAAGCTATCTCCACCCTCTGATAAATAGAGGCTAGGGACACACCATTCCCATCCTGGCTAATATCCATTAATGCACTTACCTCCATGAATTTATCTAGCTCTTTTTAAAACCCTGTTATAGTCCTAGCCTTTACAACCTCCTCAAGCAAAGAGTTCCACAGGTTGACTATGCGCTTAGGGTATGTCTCACTTGTACCCTCTTTCGATAGAGAGATGCAAATGAAGACATTGGAAATTGAAAATGAAGCCAGGATTTAAATATCCTGCACTTCATTTGCATATTCATATTATGGCGCTATTTCGAAATAGCGCTCTTCTGAAATAACACACACTGTTAAGACGCGGTTATTTTGAAAGAAAACCCTTCTCTCTAAATAACCGGTAAACCTCATTGAATGAGGAATAAGCGTTATTTCGAGAGAAGGGTTTTCTCTCGAAATAACCGTGTCTTAACAGCATCTGTTATTTCGAAATGGCACCATAACGCGAATATGCAAATGAAGCATGGGATATTTAAATACCGGCTTCATTTTCAATTTCGAATGTCTTCAGTTGCATTCCTCTATTGAAAGAGGGTACAGGTGTAGACACACAAATAAAAGGAAGTTCTTCTTCACAGAGGCTTTTAAACCTGCTGCCCATTAATTTCATTTGGTAGCCCCTAGATCTTATATTATGGTAACAAGTAAATAACTTTTCTTTATTCACTTTCTCCACACCACTCATGATTTTTTATACCTCTATCACATCCCGCCCCTTAGTCTCCTCTTTTCAAACTGAAAGTTCTAATCTCTTTAATCTCACTTCATATGGGACCCGTTCCAAACCCCTAAGCAGTTTGACAAGCATGGTACATTAGTACTCAAATGAGTCCATGTACAAACAGTTTAATTCTTCACCTCAGAGTCTATGCCAATTAACAATTTATGGAAATAGCTAATAAAAGCCAATTTTATCACTGCCTCTTTGCTATTACAAACCAAATAATATTTTTTCCAGGTACACTTATATTTTTTGCCCATTATCTACCAAGGATTTAGAAAGGTCAGGTAAGTGCCTCTGAAGTTTATACAAAACTTAATTTTTAACACAAGTAGCAACCATTGTAGAAAAAAAAACTTTCAGTTTACAAGAAAACAGAAAAATGTTAAGATCTTTCACAAAAATACATATTTTGGTAAAAAGTGAATGTTTCTACTTACAAATTTGCTTTTCTGGGGTAACCGTGGACCATCTCCTTCTTCAGTTTCCTCATTTGCTTTCTTTTCTTTTTTAGACATCTGAGAACGTTGCTGTTCCATTCTCTCTTTCTCCAACTTTTTCTGCTTCTCTCGTTCCATTTTTTCTAGGCCCTCACGAATCCAAGCAGGAAGAGTTCTACGCTTTACAGCATCTGCATGACAGATTTAGTTTTGTGGAAGGAAAAGAATAAAAAAAATGCATCTCTCAATAACAACAATCTTTCTCTAAAATCATAATTACAGATTTCAAGTTTTATAATGAAAATCATGTCTTAAAATATGTTTCGGGGTTTCTTTCATTAAAATTAGGTTAACATGTACCAATCTGTGGAGGCTCCTGCTTCACAGGCATTGCGATAGGTGAACGCTGACGGTCTCTGAACGAAGGTCTTTCCCTTCGATTCTGGGGAGGTGCTGATGGTGCTGGAGGACCTGGTGGCCCTGGTGGTCCTGGCTGCCAATAAGGTGGATGAAATCCACCTTGAGGTGGACCAAAAGCAGCCCCATGCTGAAAGAGTAATGCAGTTCATTTTTCTTCACATTTAATACAATATACTCTAAGCTTATTCCTGGGGTTCCATATAGCATGTATGCATGCACATGCGTGTATTTTGTAAGTGGAACAGAAATCTAAACTAAAATCATGGATTTTTCTCCCTAGCTATGGTCTTTCTATCTGTTTTCTAAATATTTTTATCTAAAATGTCTAAACTTTCATTTTTATTTAAAAAGTGACTTATTTAAGACCAGGTTTTGAAAATAGATTTTAGAATATAAGCCAATAATGAATCTGTGAATGGGCCGCAAACAACTCTCTCTCGGCCATTAAAACTGAAGTCTGATTCCTATCTAGCTGCGATCAATATTACACAAATCCCTACCAACTATCAGTAGAATGCTCAGTTAAAGCTGGGGGCACAAAGTGCAGCCTGATGGCTAAAGCAGCATAAAGAGCCCTCAAGCATGAGCCTGCAATCATCCTTTTCCTACAACTACAATTTGAGGACAAAGGCGAAAAGCTCCAAATTTTTGTTGCTCATTGTTGTACTTCACCTGCAGTCTTCACTCATTTATGAAGGATATTACAAATAAAAATATACATAATGGTTGATAAAAATGACACATACATTATTAGGCAAGTTTGGTACAGCCCTGGCATACAGACCAAGTTGCCATGCAATTCAGAGTTGCAAAGTTGTGGCTCAGATGAGTGAATATATAGTTGGAGCCTAAAAACAGCCATTAGATACATTTCCAAGGACTGTATATAGATATAAGGCTACAAGTATCAAATATTTTCGGATAGGTTAAGTTAAAATTAACTTAGTTCGGATAAGTTAAAATTATTTAAATTACCAATTTTGGCATGATTTAAATGAGCAAACAGGAAACCATGATTAAAATAGATTTTAATCGTGTATTGCATTTGTATTTCTTATTTTCTATTAAAAAGTTGGTTCTCATTGGTTATTAATTAATGTATCTTTACCTGCAAGTACATATATTCTTTATACTAAATTTGGTATTACTCATTGGTAACCACAGGACACACTATATCTCTATACATTTATATAGCTTAACATGGTTTTTAACTGTTTTAATGTTTTATTATGCTTTAAATGGTATATATTATATGAATGACATTTATTTATTAGGTTCATTTGTGTGTGTGATTTCTGTCAAACTATTTGCACGTAAACTAAAATTTAAAATGCACAAAAGCAGCATTTTAATTTTTTATTAGTTAACTTAAACTACTTCAAGTGTGCTAGACACACAAAAAAAGTTAAATGCAAAACATGTTTTGATAAAAACTGATTAAGAAAAGAACTTTATTCTGGCCATCACTAGTGTTAGTAGGCATAAAAACAATAAAAATAAATAAAAACAACAGTTATCTGTAGTTAATAAATTGAACTGATTGTTTCTGGTTATCATGGCCTTCAAGATTTTACAACTACTGGTTGAACCTCTCTAGTTCAGCAATCTCTAATCTGGCAATATCTGTGGTCCAACAGGATTTCAGTTAGCCAGATGTCCAATTATCATAGGTGTGGCAAAGTTTCCTGCGGTCCCATAAAGTTTGTTTACAGCCAACAGTCCTGGCTCTCAATGTTCTATGCTGTTATATAGTTCGAATGTACCCTTAAACGTCTTCCAAGAGCCCAGTAAACAGTGGAAGTGTTGGCAACGCTGCTGGACAATATCGACTTGTGATTTGGAAAATTTTCTGGTTCAGCACCAGTCAGGTCCCAAAGATGCTGACACTAGAGAGGTTCAACGTGTAGCAGGTCCCCATTATTTCACAAAGTTTTTATTCAGACTGGAAGAGGAAAACAAGCTTTTTTATTTTTCGACTGCAATCAAATTTTCAACTTTTGTTAAAACTAGTCATAGAATTATCTGAATAATCCAAAATGAAGAAAACTCTAGTATCTGCTACTGCTATTAAAAGCGGGCACAGTACTTCAATAAACTCTGGTTCCAGGTGCATAGTTAATGATTCCCACCATCTCACTAAATGTGACTTCCTTTAAGACTTTGGAAGAAAACATATACAGATTAATATTTATAAATTATAAACATTACAATAATTCAATTTAAATTAAGACAATTGTATGAAGTCTTAAAACTTGAAATTTAATGTTAAATGTGTTTTTTTTAAAACCAGAAAAATGTTTTAAGTTTAAAATAATGTTTTGTTTCTTTTTAAATCAGTTCTTAGCTACTGCGGTTTATGATATACTTTTGAGCTCATTATCTGATGAAGTGGATTTTACCCATGAAAGCTCATGATACTATATATTTTTTCTTAATCTCTGAAGTGCCAGAGGACTACCCATTTTTTAAGTTACAGACTAACAAGATACCCCTTTAAGATATTCTTTTGATTATTCAAATAACTAGGGGTGCTTCTACACTGTAGGGCTTAACTTGAAATAAGCTATGCAAACTGAGCTACGTCAAGTGTGTATTTTATTTCAAAAAAGCTTATATCGAAACAGGGAGCATCTACACAGCACTTATTTCAAAACAGAGCACTCTTCTTCCGACTTCCTTTATTCCTTGTACAATGAGGGTTACAGGAGTTGGAGTAAGTCGTCCTCCAGCTTGACAGTACTTTGACACTATTTCGAAATAACTCCTGTATAGACGTGGACTAAATTTATTTCGCAATAGCGCTAGTTATTTTGAAATAGTGTTGCAGTGTAGACATACCCTAAGACATTTAGTATTTCCACTATAATTTTAAATACCATTTGCTGCATCATCTGCTGCAGTGAGGACTTTTAGTACCGTTTTTACAGGATTTTGAGTTTTCTATAAAATTTTGAATAGTAACAGCAAACAGAAGACTTCTGTCTTTACCTCACATCTAACAATAGGCTTGCCAATTTTGGTTGGATGTATTCCTGGAGTACTTGGTTGGATTGTCATCATGAGACAATCTTTAACTCCTGGAATCTCCAGACCAATTCTGCAGAGCTGGAAACCCTATCTAACAATGTTGCCTGACATAACCACAATTTAAGAATAGAAAAAGTAGGACAGAAAATAGAAAGAAATTCTTATACCTTTTGTCAGTCTTCCCCACAGATTTCTACTGTCTCTGAATACAAGGTAGATGTTCCAAAAGGTAGTGTGTGCTTAAAATCTATTTTAACAGGTTTGAGCACAACACCATTGAAAATTGGAAAAATAATCTAAAATAAATTATTTGGATAGAGAGTTGGCTAATACAACTCATTATAATATATTTAAAAAATCTATTCTTTACATACACTGCACATATCTGGTCTGCAAGAGTAAAGAAAAAATAGATGTAATCTTAAAAAATATATATAACTGTTTATTCATAGACTCAAAGATGATAGAGATGGAAAATACCAGTTGGATCATCCAGTCTACCTCCCCGCAAATGCAGGACTATATTCTATAGTACATTTTCTAGTATATTTATATATATGATTTTCTGACCTTTATTTAATGCTCTTTTCCTTTACATAACTTTGTCATATTAATGATATACTGGAAAACACTGAATCATTTTAATCTTTCACATAACCGTTTATCATTATTTGTATGGAAAAAATCTTGTTAGCTCAGAACTGAAAATTCTAAAGTCTTCTTTTGTATGTGTACTATATTTTGCATGTTAAAATGTAGCTTAGCTGCTAAGATTTAACAGCTATAAACTTCTTGTTGTTCGTAGAAATGAAGAGTAAGCGTCACTGCTAGATATTCTTAGAGGAACACTTCCACAGAAGGGACTCTGCACGTCAACAATATTAAAGTAACAAATGTGTTTCACCTGATAGTCAAACTGGTTCACTGGCCCCATTGCAAAGTTATCGGGTGGTCCCCCAAAGTTGTGATTGTTCTGGTTAAATATATGCCTGTTGTCAGGGCCAAATTCCCCACTATCCTGACTGTTGCTGTCTTCAGATGGAGGAACAATTTCCATTGGGCCAGGAGCTGGAGGCATCCATTGCTGATCTGGAGGCGGATGTGGAGGTTGGTGAGGCATTCCCCATTCTGTTCAGAATTTAGAATAAAATTCAGTATGACATTAACAATTAGACTTTGGTAGGTTATAAACATTTGTCTCTCTCATAAAGTGCTAAAATGTAAGACTTTCAGCTTTTGTTCAATGAGGAGTCAGAGACGTATAAACTGACATTATAGATGTGATCAAGTTACCCCTCCACCTACTCCTTGATAATAAGCTAGACTCCTGGAGCTCCATCTGTTTTTCACTATTAAGCAGTGATTTCTAATCCTTTAATCATTTTCCTGGTTCTTATTTGAACCTTCTCTAATTCTTAATATCTTTAAAGGTATGAAAACCAGAAATGGTTATATTTCAATAGTGGTTAGAGCCAATACCAAACACAGAAGTAATAAGATTCTTATTTATGCATCCTAAGGAAAGCTGGCCACGGTATTGTACTGCAAGCTCACTTTCAGCTGATTATCCTCCATAACACAAGCCTTTTCAGAGTTTCTGCTTCTAAGGATAGAGTACCCCATCCTGTCACTATGGCCTATATTCTTTGTTCCTAGATGTATGACTTTACATTTGGCTATACAGGTTAAACTTCTAAAATCCTGGACTCTCTGGTCCGGCAACATCCATGGTCTGGTGGAACCACAGACATTGCTGGATCAAAGAGCCCTGGCTGGCCAGGCTCAGGGGTTGGTCTGGTGGTGGGGAGCCCAACCATCTCAGCAGTGGGCTGCTGTGGTGGAAAGCAGAGCTCCTGGCTGGGGCTGGTGGTGGGGACTGCATCCCCACTGGGGCCATAGGTAGCAGAACCAGTGCCAGGGAATGCAGCCCCAGCTGAGCCACCACAGCAAGGAACGCAGCCTGGGTGACCTGCAGCACCCAGGAATGCTGCCCTGGCTGGAGCAGTGCAGCAGGGAGCACAGCTGCGGCCAGGCTGCAGACAGCGGGGCTGGTGGATGAGCAGGGCCGACAGCCAGGATGGGAGCCTTGACCTCCCCTGGTCTGGCAAACTCTGTGGTTTGGGAATACAGGCAGTCCCCAGATTACGTACAAGATAGGAACCGTAGGTTTGTTCTTAAGTTGAATTTGTATGTAAGTCGGAATTGGTGTCCAGATTCAGCAGCAGTTGAAACTGACCAGCAGCGGCTGAATCGGACACGCCTGGGGCAGAGCAGCTGGAGTGCTGCTGGGTTGGTCTGGTAGCACCGACCCTTGGCGCAGCGGGACCAACCTGGCAGCACCCCAGCTGCTCTTGGGGATGCCTGGGGGAGGGGCGGTGGGGGGGGG